GTTAATGAACGTTGGCAGATGTGGCACTTTCAAGAGGGCATAGCTGTTATTTAGCTGATAGCACAAAGCTTTGGGGCAAAGGCAGGGGTGGGATACGACAGGGTTAACTACCGGTTCAGGATTTACGAGGTTCGGTGATTTATGATGTGCTTCGCTGCACGCTGAGACTGGGTGCACCTGTAAATCGTCATCAGCATGCTGCGTGCAGAGAAGCAGCCTTTGAAACAGCCCTCTTTTCCTGCTTTTTTAACTGCAGCTGTGCCTCGTTTGGCAGCTGAAGTTGAAAAAGGGTATTGGTACTTACCTGATATGCCCATTCTCTGTGAGCTGTTCAGAGCATCCAGTGATGGAAGGTGCTTCAGTCTCTTCTAGGAAGGCTGGGCTTAAACTTGAGGACGCTCCTCCTCCTCCACGAGACTTCTCCTTAGCGTCCCCAGTTTTGCAAAGCCGAGGTATTGATACCCTATATGCTTGATCCTATGTTATAACCCTGGCTGGAACAGACCCCCTACCAGACGGAATGAAAGGGTGGGGCTGGATGCTCTTCACAGCTCACAGAGAACAGGTGTATCAGGTAAGTACCAACTCCCTTTCTCCCATGAGCTGTTCAGAGCATCCAGTGATGGGACATACCAAAGCTTGGCACTGTCCTAAGGGAGGGACTCTGTCTGGGTTGCAGACCTAACTGTCTGTGAAATAACTTGCTGCAGAACTCGCCAACCAAATGAAGCAGAAGCAAATACGTCAATTTTATAATTTCTAATAAATAGAGATGGAGAAGCCCAGGTTGCAGCTCGGCAAATCTCCTCTATTGTAGCTTGGGTCGCCCATGCTGCTGTGGTGGCTACACTCCTGGTGGAGTGAGCAGTAATGCCTTGGGGCACTGGTATCGAGTGAGAGTCATACGACTTAGCGATGGTGGCCCTTAGCCATCTACCTATGGTAGAGGGTGAAACCTTGTGCCCGAGGGTGTTAGGCTGAAAGGACATAAAGAGGGCTTCTGCCTTTCTGGAGGGAGCCGTGTGCTCTATGCCGATGCGTAAGGCCCTTCTTATGTCCAAGTGGTGCCATTGGTGTTCGAGCCTGTCTGATGGATGTGAGCAAAAATTTGGGAGCACCAGCTCTTGAGCTCTATGGAATGCCGAATTAACTTTTGGAATGAAGGAGGGATCTGGTCTGAGAACCACTCTATCCAAATGGAAAATGCAGAGGTCTTTGCGCACCGATAATGCAGCTAGTTCGGAGATTCTATGGGCAGATGTAATTGCTATCAGGAAAACTACTTTGTAGGTTAGAAATCGAAGCGTCATGGTCCTTAGTGGCTCGAAGGGACCTGTAGTAAGGGCCAATAGTACCTTATTTAAGTCCCAAGTTGGATATCGGTGCACTACGGGGGGCCTCAAATTCTTGGCACCACACAGAAAACTGCGAATGTGAGGGTGATGAATGGAGGTAAGATCATCCCAAGATATGACCGAAGCCAGGGCCGCCACCTGTCTCCGCAGAGTATTGGGTGATAAACCTTTGTTTAGGCCCTCCTGTAAAAATTCTAATAACTGCGCTACTAATGGGGAAGTGGGGTCAATCTGAACCTCTGACACCAATGGCAGAAGCTAGACCATCATAGATTTGGTTCGTTGAAGGATGTCGAGCTGACTGAATAGTGTGAATAACTTGAGTAGAAAGGTGTTCATCTCTCAGACGTCGCCGTTCAACTTCCATACAGCTAAGTTTAGCCATTGGGGGCCCGGGTGTAACACTGGGCCTTGAGACAGTGATATGACCGATGATGGGATCCTCCATGGTGGTACCGTAGAGTGGTCCTTCAGGTCCGCGAACCATGCTTGCCTTGGACAATAAGGAGCCACTAATAGTAGGTCCGCTTTTTCTTCCAGCAACTTCTGAATCAATTTGGGGATCACAGGGAGGGGAGGAAAGGTGTATAGCAGTCCGGTGAGCCAGTGACACCTGAGGGCATTCACGTCCTCGCTCCCTGTGATGGGTAATGAGAAATGAATCGGGGAAGCTGTGCATTGAGTGGGGAGGCAAACAGGTCAACAACCGGTTGGCCCAACCTCCCAGTAGCCTCTAGAAAGATCTTGGGGTCCAGACGCCACTCTGATTGGTCTAACATGGCTCTGCTGAGCCAATCCGCTTGTACATTCGCTACTTCAGATATGTGTTCCGCCTTTAGAGAGAGAAGATGGATTTCGGCCCCTCATTAGTAGATTGGAATGAGTGCCCCCTTGTTTATTGATATGGGCCTAGTAGTTATATTGTCTGTTAAGACCAGCACGTATTTGCAATGGAGATGCGGGAGGAATTGTCGGAGTGCCAAGTACACTGCTCTCAGTTCTAGCCAATTGATATTGTGTGCCTTCTCTGAATCCGTTCAAAGGCCTTGCGCTGTATGTGATTGGAAGTGCCCCCCCATCCCACTAGACTGGTGTTTGTTGTAACAATTGACCTATGTGGATCCTTGAAAGGGCATCCCTTGTTGATTTTGGGTCGTGTCCATCATCGTAGAGACCTGAGGATAGTTGATGGAACTTTTACGTGAGTCTTGGCGTCATCTCTCCCGGCACATTGGTATGCAGGGTTCTTGTATGGAACCGGGCCCAAGGGATAATATAAATACAAGAAATCATTTTTCTGAGCAATTTAGAAAGGAGACATAGTTGTACTTTCCTAAGAATTCTGATCTGTTGAGCCAAATCTCTAATACTTTTTTGTCTGTCAGGGGAGAGGAAAACTTTGCCTTCCAGGGTGTCAATGATGGCGCCAAGGTGAATAAGTCTAGTAGAAGGTGTTAAATGACTTTTTGACCAATTGATTTTAGAACCCTTGTTGTTGTAGGGTTACAAGTGTAGTTTGAATGTTTGAATTTGCTTGATTGATGGAAGATGCCAGAATAAGAATGTCATCCAAGTAGCATTGAAGTCGGATGGACCTATCTCTGAGTGATGCTGCCAAGGCAGCCAAGACCTTTGTAAAAGTTCTGAGAGCTGAAGCTAGGCCAAATGGGAGAGTAATATATTTGTAATGGATGTTGTTGTAACAGAAACAAAGGAATTTGAGATGTGAGGGCCTAATTGGGATATGTAAGTAAGCTTCCGTGAGGTCTATGGAGGTAAGGACATTGGGTTGTTTTTTTTTCATGCGGAGTAAGATGGATTGGAGAGTGGTCATTTTAAATTTTTGGTAAACTAAAAATTGGTTTAGACGTTTTAAGTCCAGGATTGCCCTCCACCCCCCCAAATTTTTAGGGACCATGAAGAGGTGCGAATAAAAACCAAGACCTTTTTGATTAGAAGGGATGGGTTGTATGGCCTGGATCTCTAGTAGATGTGCTATGGCTGTGTCCATAGAAACCTTTTTTCTGTGTCCCTGGAAATAGGGGAGTTCATAAAAAAATCCGGGGGGGTGGAGCTGAACTCCAGTGTCAGAACAAATTGTACTGTGTTCCTGACCCAGTGGTAGAGGAGTCCCATTGGTCGTCAAACATTTTTAGGCGACCGCCAATGGGAATCTCGTTGTGGTCATTACTTGGACCTGCAGAAGGGCCTAGATCCTGTTCCTCGAAATTGTCTCCTAGGATGGAGTCCCCTTCTATATCTGTCCCCAGGTTCAATTCTATCTGTCTGTTGTCTGAAACCAGGCTGTCTTTAAAATCTTGGATAGTAGGGTTTGTAGAAGGGGTGAAAGGAACCCCTATGAAAGGGCTGTGGTAATCTGGACTCTGATCAACAAAAAAGAGAGGGAAGAATTTTATTTTTGGTTCTGGTTTCAATTAGGAGGGGTTCAAACGCACTGCCAAATAGTTTGTTCTCTGAGATGGGATCTGAGGCAAGGTGCCACTTGTGCTTGACGTCTGCCTGCCAATGCCTGAGCCAAAGTAACCTTCTAGCCGCAATTTGGGAAGCAATGGTCCTAGAGGAAAATTTAACTACATTGAAGGTAGCGTCTGCTGAAAACTCTGCAGCAGTGATTAATTTAGCCACATCTTGATGTGCCCTAATGTTTGGGGCTGGAATGGTATCCCTCAGGTGGTGGAGCCATCTGAGAGATGATCTAGTGAAAAAGGAGGTGGCTGTGGCCGCTCTGATGGCCCATGCATCCGAGACGTGTGCCCTGTGGAAGGCTAGTTCCGCCCTCTTTTCCTCAGGCTTGAGAGCCTCTGCAGCTTCACTTGGGATGGCTGAGGAAGATGCAAGCACAATGATAGGCTTGTCCACTTCCGGAGTGTTTAGAAATTTAGAGAACTCAGGTGCCAAATTATAGTATTTTTTATCATGCCCTGTGGGAGCGGGATATGAGGCAGCTGCAGCCCATTGTTTTTGCACTAAATTGGAAAACATGTGTGGCACAGGGATAACCTCTGCCTCAGTGACTGGTTGAGAGAATATGAGATCCTCTGCTTCCCCTGGAGTATTTGGTGGGGGAGGGGTACCCGTATTATCCAGCCATGCTGTGTTCTTGGCCTTAAACAGCAGGGATTTAAATAATTGTGGGCGGAGTAATCCTGTAAATATGAAGAGGTCAGGTGAGAGGCCTTCATCGTCAGACATCCCCCTTTCTAGCAGATCCACCTCTGACAATACCTGGTCAAAGGTGTGTACCGACCCCTCCTCCATTGGATTCATGGGATCCCCTTGATCTCCCATATCCTGTATGTACTGAGGGTCTCTGACAGCGGGCAACGATAGTTCTGCCGGGGGGGTACCTGATGAAGATGTGGATCCATGATGCCCAGAGATTGTTCAGAAAGAGATCCGCAAACTGAAGCTGAGGGTGTTCGTCTTGCCTGAATAGCCTGTTGGACTCCTGCTGATATGCCCTTCTAGATGGCTAGCTCCATCCACGCCCTCATGTAGGCAGGAATTTCCTCCAGAAGTTCCTCATCTTATCTGAGGCCAGCTGCAGTTGGCATGAATGTTGCCTCTGTGGCCCTCCTTGGGGAGAGAATGTTAGAAAGAGCTACCTGGGGAGGTTGTATCGATATGCTGCTCCTTCTGGATAAATCCAGAGGGGCGGTTGGAGGATTCTGGGCCTGTGAGGTAGAGGGTATGATGAGTGGTGAAGAGGTGAGTTGTACAGTTGCTCGTGTACATTTTTCCACCTGCCTTTCTAATGCCTGATGGCGTCTGCATGGATCTTTCTCTGCTGCCTTAGAGGTCTTTTTGGGCTCTGTGGACTTATCTCTATTTTTAGCAGTTAGTCTAGATCTGGGGTTGTAGTTGCTTGCCATGGTAATGCCTTTGATAGATTAGCAATGTAAAGAGGCTATGAAATTAGATGGCTGGAACACCTAGGGGCCTGCTCCCTTAAGGGGTAGGGGATCCTGGAATAAATAGTTCCCCGATGCCTTTAGCAAACATTGTCTCCTTGTTCTGTTTTGCTTTGTTTATATATATATATATATACATACATACGTATGTATGTATGTATGTATGTGTGTGTATATGTATATGTATATATACACACACACACACACACACACACATATATACACGACTTAAATATTTGTAGAATTTAAGTCAATCAAGTCAATTTTTGAATAAAGTACTTGTAATATCAAATATGGAGACCAGAACACCCCCCTCCAGACCCGGCACCTATATGAGGGCACAGAGGTCTGTAACTGATAATTAGATCAGTTTAGCTGCACTTATTGCCTGTAGAACCCAGCAGTTCAAGTCCTCTATCATGCAGTGGACTGGTGGTAGGGAACCCCCTTCCTAGGTCCCCAAGAAGGAAAACCTTGTTGGGTAACTTACCTCACAGACAGTAACAATTACTCAGCAAATTTAACCACGCGGCCTTTAAAATGGCGGCCGCCTCATGGCAGAATGAAAACAAAAGCAGCTATCACCGCCCAGCCTGCTGAAAGCAAAACCACTCAGCAGGAAGGCGCAGGGGCTAATTCCCTGCCCTGAGGTGTTCTGTGGGGAAAGCCTCGTAATAAAAGGAAAAAAGACTGTACTGTTTAAATTGAGGCTTCGAGCCTCGATAAAAGGAAAAAACAGCTGCACTGTTTAAATTGAGGCTTCGAGCCTCGAACAGACAGAATGTTTACTCAGCCGGCTGGGAGATCAGAGTGATAAGACTCCTTGTTGAGAAGTTTAAGGCAGCGGCTCTGAAACGAGAGGCTTTTAGCCTCAGGGCAGATGGGAAAGGTAAGCCTCTGCGTTTATGAGGCTTTAGCCTCGGGAGGTTGGAACGCTCATAAAAACGAGCGAAATGACTTTTGGAGGTTCCCAGGGGTGGTGGGGGTAGTTGGTGACAGAAACTATGGTACCTGACCTGAGAAATAAATCAGCTAAATCAGCTAAATCACCAGTGTTCTGTTCCGGCCAGGAAAACAATAACACAACCTGTCTGAAGAAAGGCTGAGCTAAAACTGGGGACACTAAGGAGGAGTCTCGTGGAGGAGGAGGAGTGTCCTCAAGTTTAAGTCCAGCCTTCCTAGAAGAGACTGAAGCACCTTCCATCACTGGATGCTCTGAACAGCTCATGGGAGAAATCAGGAAATAAAGATCAGGTAAGAGCCCAGGTGGGCAGGTGGGCAAAAACATCAGCAGACATAGAACCAGTTCTATGTCTGCTGCTTTTCAGAGCTACCAGTTCTACAGAGGTGGACAGAACCAGTAGAAACCCACCCCTGGGCAAAGGTTAAGATATCAAGATCCTAAATCACAAAGATCTTTGGGTTACCTTGAATTTCACTTGGTTGCAAGCTGGTAGCAAATTCAGTGCCCTCAGAACAGATATAATATGTTGGGAGTAAATTATCACATTCAACAATCTAGCATTTTATATTACCGTAGTTGTAGTTTCCAGATGATCATCCAAGGGATGGTGTAGCTGAGACAGCTCAGGTCTGCTTAGCTTAGCTACTGCAGTAGTTTAATTGATTCGTATCTGTGATGTTAAACTCCCAAATGTAACTAAACAAATTGATGTATGTACATGATGCTGAAAATATTAGTTGGTTGGTAATCTTCTGCATTCTAAATTGTGTAATTGAGTTGTTGCTACCTGTTGCACTTCACATATTTGCTATGAGGCAAATGATTCAACATAGATAAAGGTTGACTAGAAAACATAAGCTCCTTATATTTTCAAAAGATTAAGTTGGCTTGCAGGGAATCAAATGCTGCCTCCCACTGTGATATTACCTTCTTACCTCAAGCAGCAATTCCCCCAAGTCTAATTCTGCCTCTCACATTTAATGTACTTTAAAGGAAAGCAAATTCCCTTATTACTATTTTTTTTTCAGCTAAATGACAGACATGTGATTATTATTTTTTATATTCAACCTAGTTCCTCTCTCACATGGTCTTCACTTAAAATAAATGTTTTAAGTGTATTGTCTCCATAAAAGACAGGACTGTTCTGTTAAACATATGCAAACTGTTCTTCAAGCAACATGGGCTAGGATCCCTACATGGAACTCTGAGTAATATTTTTTTCTGTATCCTTGGTTGGGTAGTTCCTTCTACAACTCTGGTAATCAGGACCAAACAATGTCTTGCTATAATCTCAAAGCTACATCCTCCTAGCAATTGTTTCAGGTCTACTCTCTCTAGATAGCAGCTGCCTATAGGACCACTGAACTAAACATTATCCATTCTTTTTGTTTCTCCATTCTTCTCTATTTTTTCTATCTTTCTTGTTCCTTTAGTTCCCCGGTGAACTACCATGGCCTCAGATTGTTGAAGAAGTCCTTCACTCTCCTTGGCCATATAAGAGAGTTTTCAAACACTACTCTTGGAATACAGTTTTAAGGAATGGCCTTAGTAGGAACCATGAGAGCTGCCCAAGCAGTTTTCCATATAATTTCCCTAAGGACTGTCTTCAATAACTGCCTAGAAAACAGCAGAGGTCACTTCATAAAGGACCAGGTTTGGATTTTTCTCAGTCTATTTGGACTGTTGTAGGAATTTCCTGAACAGACCCTTAAAGATGGCTTCCAACTGGCTTCAAAGCCTGGTACTCCAAACAAAAGCAGCTGTCCATGAATCTTCCATGGAGATTCATGCTTGAAATTACCTTCCTGAAGCTACCTCCTATTCATAGGATTCCCTTTTGGGACCTCTATTGATCCCAAAGGCATAGTGTGTCACCTGTATTTTAAGCAGACATCACACTTTTTATCTGGGAATAACCTTTTGTTGCTACATATATCTATGGAGATTCTCAGTCATCTAGGTCATGGTTGTTCTAAAGGTGCTTTTTCAAGAGCCAAAGGTGCTTTTTCAAGAGACTTTCTGATTTTTCTTTGAAGACATTTCACTTCTCATCCAAGAAGCTTTTTCAGTTCAGAAAGTCCAGTTGCCTTTTGAAAAAGTACCTTTGGAATTTTTGTTGCTATATTATCATCTAGATATGGGGTCAAAGTTGGCAATCATATTGGTCAGGAAGAAATGTGATCTTCTCAAACTATGATTTAAGGTACAGGCTCTACATTCCTATCCAAAATTAATTCCCGAATGCATAAATACTAGGACAGGTCTAACAACATTTTGTCCACATGCAGCTCCCTCCTGATTTATGAGATATCACAAAGTGGCTATCCCCCCCAAACATGAAACTTTACTTTAAGACAACCAACAAGACTGTGATACTTTTTACCTCTTTCCAGGAAGTATTTTCTAGATCATGGGGTCTTACATGGCTCACTGCTACAAAACCCATTCTACCATGGGACTAGGACAACTCATCACAGCCTGTGGCCAACTCTCTGCAGGACAACTTGCTAAAGGACAAGAGTTACAGTAATATAAAAGAAATGGGGGAATAAATTATTAAAGAAAGGATGTCAAAGGAGGGACAAAATAAAATATAAATGAGAAAAGTTACAATATTTTTAAATTATGTTAAATAATTAAATTGAATTATTAAATTGGCCTGCGGTGAGTTGTACTAAAGTGAGTTGTCCATGTTGAATTGGCTGTGGTGAGTTTCCCATGGAAAGTTAGCCATGATGAGTTGGCCCTGGCGAGTTGTCCCATTCCATTCTACTACTACCTTGGGAGTTATCAGGGCTCACTCTGTTAGGAACGCAACCACCTCAGCTGCCTCATCCACTAGAATTCAACTAAATCACCTCAACATGGTTCTCAATCTCATCTTTCATGACATAGTACAAATCTAATTCACTGGTGTCAGCTAAGTGCATGCTTAGTGGATGAATTCTGCACAAGGCAATGTTGTATTCATAATCTAATTGGGTAGTTCCTACCATATTGGATTGCTCCGGTGGATCACTCTAGTAAGTTTTGGCTAAAGGTACTCTCTAACCACAGAAGAAAAACAGAATCCTTGAAGGATTTTTCCCTTCTGAATGAATGGTGGTTATGCATATCCTCTTTTTTTCTGGCTTCATCTCTGTTTTTACAGCTATCATTCTTGCTATAAAAAGTTCTTGTTAATATTTCTCATTGCTTCAGATGTTTAACTCAGAGATTTTCAAACTTCTTCAGGCTCTAAAAACTTTTTTAAAAAATCCCTGGAACCCTTGAGGTGAGGATTCTGAAGGTCAGCTGGTAAGCCCCACCCGTTCCATTCTATCTTAAACAATTTCTATGGATGCCCCTGAGGAGCAACACTGAGGCAGAAATGAAAGGATAAATCCCTCAGAACTCATTCAAGTTCTCTTGGAACCACAAGATTCTGTGGAATCTGGTTTAAAACAACTCACCTCAACCAGCTAGGAAATTGTTCTCCACTGCCACCTAGAGGCTTGGAAAGAGTCCTGGTTGTTTAACCATGGGAATAACAACCCAGCAAAAATACTTTTACTACTGTGGAAAAAGGAGTTTAAGTCCAATTTTCATTCTTCACAAAGGGTCTGTGTTTATTCAGTGGGCTTGGGCAATAAGGGGCATCTGCTGCAGTTTATGAATTGCAGTGAAAGAAATGGTATTGGATTTTTTTTTAAATAGCGTTAAGTACCTATGGGACCACTTTTTTCCAATCACCTTGGCCCCTGGTGAGATCTGAGACAAAATAATTCTTTACTTCCCATTCCTAAAATAATGTTATCATATGGGTCTATGTAGATTAGTTCCATTGTGGCTAC